AATTGTTATCAGTAATTTTTATTCATGGTAGAGTCAAGCTTCTCATCAGGGAGATACGTGTAAACCATTACTTTAACTGTACCTCAAAAATTTGTTTGAAAAGGCCGCAGTTCCTATCATACTTGATCTCTTTTCTAGGTGCTTTGATATTTATAACTAATTAAATTGATACAAAGTTAAATTCAACTATAGCATAAGGTGTTCATAAATAGCTTTAACCGAAAAAGCAGCAAGTACTTAACTATCAGTAGCTTCTCAAGTTGGCATTTCCTTATGTGAAATCTCTCTTTTTACTTATGAAAACAACTTTCCAAAAAGGCAGTAAAATCTACCTGTGCCATTGCGAGTGTTCGGATCCATGTAGAACGTGCTATTGGACGACTTAAGGACTTTAGAATTCTTCAAGGAAACTTTCTTCATCCAATGCTGCCCATTGCAGACAACATCTTTAGTGTGTGTGCTGCTCTGTGCAATTTGCTACCTCCCCTGGTTAAATGACTGCTATTACCTTGTGAGCCAAGAAACACAAGAAGTTTGTAAATTTGATCAATTGCCAGTCAGCTTCTGTAAATGGTTAATAACACAGATAAAAAATGTCTTGAGACTCAGGAATTAATTGATATCTAATCCAGCACACTGTTCAAGTACTTTTGGTTTTCCAATAAGCATTTACTACCAATGGTAGTTCCTTTATAATGATTTAAGTATGTCATGATGGAAGAGTTCCTGAACTATATACTTCAAGAAAAAGTTTCTTAGCACATTTCGTTCCACAACTCACWGTCAAAATTGACATTGACAATCAATATTCCTTTGAGGGTATAGATAACTAGATCACAGCTATGAATCCCTGTTATCCCCATCAGACCCTGGATTTGCTGGTTCCATTTGTTTTTTTTTTAGTATATATTTGTCATCAACAAACATGAGCTTCTCCTCAGCTGCAACCTGTGGAGGGAGATTTCTTTTTGCATACATGCTCTTAACCTCAATTAACTTCTTCTGACAGCACTCACAAATCCTTACACCATCAGGACTGGCTCCCAGGAAGGGCCATAGTGTGTTTATTATGAGTCCACTGTTTTTTATTGACAACTTGTTATGATTTTTCTTTTGTTTTTTAATGTAAAGATCTAGTGCTTTCTTCTCTTTTTCATGGCCCCATGTTAATTGTTGTGGCATTACATCTTCAGCAATTGGACAGTAATTCATAAGATGCTTAACAGTGTTTCTCCTGTCTGTGCTCTCTCTGAGGTGGCACACAGTGTAAAATGAGGAAGCTGTAATTCTTCCTGCCCTTTGATCAAACCAAAATTGGGACTGGGATTGATTCACAGCCTTTTTGTTAATCATTTCTGCTTGGTCCTCATTAAATGTAATAGCCTCAAGGAATTCAATTGCTAATTCTTTGGAAACGGTAGGTGTTACTTTTTCACTATTAACAGAAACAAACACATTGGCATAATCATTCATTGAGTAAACATCAACACTTTGAACACTTTCATGCTTACTGACATTTAAATCATTGCTTATCAAATCCCTGATTTCTTCCTCTGTTTGCCTGGTTCTTCAGCTGAATGCAAAAAAGGCAGAGCAGAAGAGCTTGGGAATGTTTCCAGCAACCCAGTTTTGAACTGTTGTTCTAATACAGTTGGGTCATAAGGAATAAAAAGTGGATTAAAATCCCTTGGCTTTATGGATTCTTTTACTGTTACACCATAGCCACCACAACTTGTTTGTAAGTCCTGGATGGGCAAACTTCCCTCATTTCTCTTTCCTTTCTTTTTCCACATGCACTGTCCTTATGTACATGACTGGAGATCATTAAATCTTATGCTTGCTTCCAGATNAAAAGCCTTTAAAATATGATTTTTTTTTCTCCTCATTCATTGTGCCTTCTCTTAATCGAAAAACGTAGACCGTGGAGTATATTTGGTTAAGGTCTCCTAGAGATAAAATGGAATTTTTTTTTGGTTTCTGCGGTAAAACTAAAAGGCTCGAGCCGAAGCACCATATGAGCCAGCAAAGTCTCAATCGCAGCCGTTCTTAGGTCTCTTCACGCCACGGGCGAGAGAGTGCGTTGTGTGACGAGACCAAACGAGGACTGTAAAGGAGGCTAAGGTAAGCGTGACATCACATTGTATGGACAACAGTTATGCAGGATCACAAAATACCTATGTCTAAGTTTATTACATATAGATTAGAAGGGTATTTTATGCTCTCTATCGAACAGTATTTCTGTTGGAAACTTTGAAAGTCAATGCTCTTTTTCTTTTACAAAATCTAAAAAATTAGTCACTAAAAATGTCCTATCTCAACCCACCCATCCGCAACAAAACTCACGCATGTGTAATATAACGGGCCCATGTTTAAAGTTTGTTACTTCAGTTTATCTTGTACACTGTTTCTTCCCTTCTTCTGATTGACTTTTACTTCAATGTTTTGCACAATAAATTTTCCTTTTCTTTCCAATATGACGTTTTCATCAAAGTTTAGTCCCCGGGTTTCCTTTCTTTACTTTTATTTGTTACGGATGATTACGCACTGATTTTGTATTTTCTCCGTTTGGTTGTTTTGTTTGTATCTCGCACATAATACGTTCCCTTCTCTGATTGAATTTTGCTTTTTCTCTTCTCCGTTTGATTTCCAAGTTAATATTTACCTCGTTGTTTTTACAATTTCCATTTGCTTTTTAAGTTGGAATCTAGCATTCTGGTCTTTTTTTTTTTCAGAATTCTTCCCGATTGTCTCCTTAATATCCTACGAAATGGCTGTTTGCATTCTTCTGTTTAACTATTGCGTTGGTATCTCGCGCAATATTTCCTCCTTAGTTTACCTCAACAATTTGCATACCGTTTCTCTTTTCTTCTCTGTTTATTATAATTTTTTTTGGAGTATATTGCACTCCCTTCTTCTTTTAACTTTTAGATCATTATAAAGTATCTGACGCGCTTTTTGTTCCGTCCTCCGTTTTTTTGTTATGTTACCATCTCCTACACCTGCGAACAGTATTCACTCTTTGATGATGACGTTTGCATGCTACAGGAGAATTGAAAACCAGTTCAGGGTTGTGTAAATCAAATGATAATTTTAAGTCTTGACGAATCTTTGCCAACATTTTTACGTTATCAAACATTAAGCTAATTTCCTGCGTTTGATATACTTAACAGATCTAACGAATGAATTGCAGGTTTCATTATCTATTGCTTTCGATTAAACCGTGATTACAAAAGCATGCAAAAACGACTTCTTGACTCTAAAAAAAATCGAAAATGTCTACTCAAAGTAATACTAGTGTCCATTTAAAATCAATTTGCAGGTAGAAAAATCTTTGTGAAGGATCACTCGTTACTCTGTTCCTTTCTTTGCCTCTTTGTTATCCCCTTTGAATTCTTCTTTCCTGGAAAAAAAAACAATTTACATTTGTCAATATAGTTCAACTTTAAAGCAGACGGAACAGACTTTTTGCCAAGAGAGTGACTTTCTTCATCGTCACTGGCTACGATTGTCCAAACTTTCCAAATTATTGTCGCACATTTCATGCTTGTTGCAAAAGTGACTTCAAAATT